GGGGGCGGCGGCGAGGGGGCGGGGCCGTCGGCCGCCAGGAGGCTCTGCGCGCCGCGCGACCGCCGCAGCGGGTGCGCCCTACACACACACACACACACACACGTACTCGCTTTGCTTCAGTGGCTCAGCAAACTGCGGCCAGTAGTGGCTCAATATTGGAACTTTATTTTATACCTTAGCGCAGACATGGCATGGACGCGGACAAGGTGGCAAGCTCACCACAGGCCTCGGGCACTGCGCCCAGAGAAATTGGCGCGAGATTTAAAAGAAAGGGGTGTACAAACTTGCTCCACAGTGGCGGAGCGTCACTGGATACCTGGCCCATGACAGTCTTTGGGAGAAGTTACTTGGCAGTTATTGTGACAAATATAGATCTATTAATTCTCTAATTAAGGCAAAGAAATTATCAATTTAAATGAAATAATACATCAGTCCGCTTTAAGATTCTCAATTAAGAGAGAAAAAAATCAAAAGTATCTTAATTTTGTTATCCTCGTTTACTTAAAATATAAATACATTAAATTATCCTTGCTTGTCTCTATAATGTTCTGCTCGTAATGAGATTGCTTGGATTGGCTGACTGTCAGTGATTCAGGCGCGTCAACTCCTAAGGTCGTTAGTCCCGTAAGTGTAGTGCACGTGTGTAAGGGAGGCGCTTACCCGGCGGGCGCGGGGGCGGTGGCGGTGACGTCGAGCACGAGCACGGAGGGCGAGGAGCAGGCGGGCGAGTCGTGGGCGTGGGCGTGGGAGGGCGCGGGGCAGCAGCCCAGCCGGAGGCAGAGCTGCGAGTCGGAGAAGCTGCGCATCACGTGCTGGAAGGGCAGCAGGCCGCGCGCCGGGGGGAAGCTGTGCCGCGGCGGCGGCGGCGGCTGCGCGCACGCTAGCCCCAGCCCCAGCGACAGCCCCAGCGGCAGGAACAGCACGTCGGGGTCGCTGGCGTCCTCCACCACCAGCAGCCGGCTGCGCCTGCGCAACGACGTTTTCATACGCTCATGATGCATTCCATCGTTCTCAATGACCATTTTTAGCCTCTTACACACACTTTTCACGCAATCTTCATTTCCTCTCCCTGGTGCCAAATTGGGACGAGTTATTTCTAAACACCTTTAACGCGACACAAAATTATTATTGCCGGTCCGCATGGCCGAAATCGGCAAGGCAAGTAGCGCCGTAGCGATCTCAGACCGAAGGATCGCATGATGGTATTGTGTTTGTCCTTTCACCCCCTATATTGTGTCATCTTCATAGTTACCATACAGTTACAAGCAATAGTATTAAGCAACCTAGTAGTTGATGCGACCTTAAATAACCCCTCCCCCCAAAAGTCGACATCACATAATGTTTTAATGCTCAAAATGTATTCCCTTGTTCTAAATGATCATTTTTAGCCCCTTAGTCATACTTTTCACAAGCTTTTACACGCAGCATTGATTTCTTCTCCCTGCTGACAAATTTGGACAACTTATTACGAAATATTTTCAACTCGTCCGAAAATGATACTTATGTTTGGAATAATATTTAACACAAATATTTAAATCTCTCCAACTAACAATAATTACAATACTAATACTAGTTTACTCTAAAAGAAACCAAGTTACTTCAAGTTTACATGAATAACCGAACCGTAGGCACGCATTTAACACTAAGCAGACATACTATCAGGGCAATAACGGCAATTTCCAACATCATAACTTCCCTTGTCTTGCGTGATACAGGTTATAGTGACAGTCTGGTTTTAGTATTAAATGCATTAGTATAGTACAAAGACATTGTTGTACGAAATTTGTAGAAAAGCACGAAACAATCTTGCAGTCTAATAATTTCGACAGGACTGTGCGACTATACAGTAGCGCAGCTCAGTTTTAAACGTCTTTTGACGACGTGTTGGTCTGCGACACTAGTGATTCAAGCGGCGATCAGAGAACACTACACCTCCTTACAATTCGCAACATAGAATCCTACCTACATCTAACCAAAAAGTCAATGTTTTTTATACATTTTAATTGTCTTACCCATATAACTAAAACAACATATGAAGTAAAAGTTTTGAACAATTTTTAAAAGAAGAAATTATTCTAGTCAGACGAATGTTGTCCATTGAAAGTGAATATGGAATCATGAAGAACAAGAATCTGTATACTGTTCACGAAAATAGCAAATTCGAGAAATGCAAGTAATGAATAGTAGTAAATAAGAGTAACAAGGAGGTTATAGCATTCATTTCTGTCTTTCCTTGCTATGTCTATTGGACAAGTAAACAACATAACTCACTTTCCTTCATTACTGCTGGATTTAATTGCAGAACAGTGCGCTTCTTTCAACACACGCATTGTTATTAATGTATTCAGTAAAAATATAAGAATTCAGTTGGTGCATATACAATTTGTTCCGATCTCAAATGTAAGGTTAAAACGTCGGTTGGATGTAATGTTTTTTCTCATTTATTGACTTGCCCTTGAAACCTAGAAATATAAAACCACTAAGTCAAGAAATACTATGAATTATCTTTTAATTTTGTATATTTGCTCTCAATAAACGCAATTTCACAAGCAAATCCGTATACTTCAGTAGCAGCTATTCGTACTTTTACGTGATCTTCGCCAGAATCTCTAGCTCCCACTCGGGCAACTCAGCGCCCGCCCCCATCAAACACACAAAACGGGCAACCCGACGTTCTCCATAATTCCGACTGACTCATTGATTAGTCGTTAGGGATTTCAGGAGCGTCAACGGCTAAGGTCATTAGTCCCGTTCGTGTAGTGCACGTTTTAATTGCGGAGGAGGCGACGATCTTCCCTCGCTGGATGAAGAGATTCGGCGCAGACCTACCGTCGACTAGCCGGCTTTTCCCCAACCAGGTATCTCCCACCAGCGGGGAACAGCCCCTGCCGGGCAAGCTGTAAGCTCCCGACTTATGCGGTAGTGTAGTGTATGTAAGGGCCCGTATGTAAGGGGTAAGGACAAGATAAGGAAGAGGAAGAGGAAGAAAAGACCGTGCGCAGTCCGTTGCCCGTTTGTTAGGGTACTGCTTCTGCATTCGCCTGATGTTGATCGGAGAAACCACATAAAACTACCGGTCAGAGGTGTCTGCCTCTAGAATGTTCCTCCAGAGAGCAACTGAAATCGACCTGGCTGTGTAGCTAACGACAAAAATTCTGCCACCGCACAGAGTGTCATTTTTACCATCTAGTTGGAAAAAAGTCCATTTTGGAAAGTACACAAAAGGTTACCTGAGGTATTTGTTTCATTTTAAAAGAGCATAGTACATAAAATGAATATCTATTGTCTTATGAATGGCTTGAGGTGGTAGTAAAACAAGTTCTAACATGCACGCTCTTGCGTTGTCACCGGATGGTTCTGTCAGTTGCATTTCACTATACCTCATGTTGAAGATCGATGTGCATTAACTGGCACTCATATCACAATAGCCAATCACGAATTGTGTTTTCGAATGATTTACCATTATAGCTTTGTGGATTCGGATGTTTTCCACCTGGATTGCCAAAACTAAGCACTGTGCACCGACGGGAGGGGAACGCTCGGACACCCCGGCCAGAAGCACTTCAGTGACCAGTTGATGCCCTGAGCCACCTCTTTCGGTTTTCTAACTCCGAATCTCCGAATCTCCACGAGGAAAAAGGAAAATACCGCAAACGGTGTGCGCGTGAGAGGAAAATTTCATGCGGCCAATCTCTTATTACAGTCAAACCTGGATAAGAGGAAAATGGATGGGTGAAGAACCTCTATTACACTAAATACAAAATTGCGACTTTTTCAAGCCATTAAATTCTTTTAATGATAATGAAAAACCTGTTTCACTGAAATTGCTTTTCTATCCAAAATTTTGTCGGTATTTTCTTACTGAGAACGTTGTAATTCTTGCGTTTCTCAGAAACCATTTTCCGAAACTTGTGGATGTTTTTCCACGTTTAACTAACGTGTACAAACTGAAAATTCTCTCGAAGACTCGCAGGCAATTCGCACAAAAACACTTTGAATCAGTTGAACGTATGTCGCATATATTCAAGCAAAAGTTAAAGTCGACTCCAGTAACTGAAAAATTAAAGGTAAAGCGCGAGTATGATAAACGTAAATAGAGTTCGGATTCTTTAGTAATTACGTATTTTTTGTCGTATTAAGTTCAGTTATCAAAATTGCGTTCTTGGCAAATAAAGCCAATCTTCACACAATTTCTAAATTTATCGTTACACTTTTAACATGTTTTTCACTACATGTGCCGTTGTTCCACACGATCGTGTTATAAAGAAATTAAAAGATTCGGGTATAGACACTAGAGTGGTAGCGTGGATAAACGAACTACTTCGGAAAAGGGAACAGAAGGTCCGAATCGGAAGCAGCTTATCAACCTCGAGAAACGTCACGTCAGAAATTCCACAAGGAAGTGTAATCGGACCACTCATGTTTCTGGCCTTCGTGAATGAAATTGCCGACTAATTCAGCTTCAAATTGTACGACTCTTGCAGATGACTGCGTATCTATAACATTATCAACTCGGAGAAGGACGAGGATATTCCAAATTAACACCTGGGTAGCAACAAACGGCATGGACAATAAACAGTTCAAAGGCCAGTCCAACTCACGTTTGTAGGGTCGACGTCACAATAAATCTGCGTACAAACTGAACATAATGTTATACCTCGAGTGCACTCTTGCATACTTAGAATTATAGCTAGCCGTAAATTGAGCTGGGAAAATCCAAGTCAATTTGGAGTAGGGAAAGCCTGGAAATCTTTACATTTGTTATGCCGGATACGAAAAAGAGTACAGTGAGAGCGAAAGAACTAGCATAATATGTCATTAGTGGGACCTATATAGATATGGCCGGTATGTTGGGAACTCATACAGAACTTTTGCAACCAAAGAAATCTAGAAAAGGTCAAGGCGTAGAGCATCAAAATTACTTTCACGGAAGGGGTACCAAGAACAAAGGGGTATGGGAGGATACGAAAGCGAGGAGATCAAAGGTCAGTCTCTATGCAGATGATAAAGGTAAACAGGCTTACAAGCGTGGAAAGAAATCAAAGTCGATTAAGGAGAAACCTACATATTTCAGCAAAGCGGATGACATGCACAAAATCAGACAGAATTCAGAAACTACGGACTTAGGAAATATTCATATTCCCGAATCGAACTATCAGAAGGTTTTGCGGTTTGCCTGGGTCAATCTTCGATCCCTTTCGTCAAAGCCTGAGCAAATTCAAAAATAAATTAGTTTCCTGAATGTTGATACGTGTGTTCTAAATATATTTAAAAAAATACAGTACAAGTAACTATGTCTTCTACGTAATTAAGTATTACTATTAATTATGTGCAGTGCAGTGACGTTGTGAAACTGAGGGAAACGGGTGTGTAAGAAAGACATTACATCTTGGAGTTTCGCAGTGCGGTGAAGTGAAGTGTGGTGAAGTGGAGTGCTATGAAAGATTGCACGGTGAAATGTTCACGTTAATTTGTAAAGTTTGTAGATTTTGTAAAGTTGTTAAGTTCAATAATGTTAATGTATTCTGCCACCAAGTTCTCAAATTTAATTGCAGAATTATTAATAAATCTAATCTAATTTAATATATTTTATGACATTTCATATATATGACATATTTTGTAAATCTTTTTTATTATACTACTAGTTTTCTTAAAATTTATTTCGTAAAAATATTAAATGAATTTTCCAGAATAGTTTTTATTTTAAAAATATTTTTTAAAAGGCTTATATTTTCCTACAGACTTTCAGAATTACGTGCTGATGACGGAAAGTGCCACACACAAAGACTCGGTCAGATGCACGCGTTCGCATTGCTTGTATCTCCGCCTGCACTGTGTGTTGCGACAAGAGCGCAAGGGAGCGGACAATAAGATCTTTGGGAGTGGAAAGTTTCAGTGACGTCGTGTTTCGTTATCTCTGATCCTAATTTACGAGAGATTCGGGCCGTCGTTGGTTTCCTAGGTGGGTGGGTGGTGAGCGTGCTTGCTTTCCTCGTCGCAAAATAATAACTGTGCGCTTTCAAATGTCTCAGTATCTATTGCCGTGGACCGAATAGGAATCCCACATTAAGGTTAAGAAGACCAGTATATAAAGCGGAGGGATGGCTTCGTGCTAACCACAAGAACCCCTTCCCTCATGGCCGAAAGGCTGGGCCACCGCTGCGCTGGTCGGCCAAGACTCGTAGCGTAGTGTCGAGCCAAAGGAAAGAACAGGAGGTCCAACCTTTTTTACGATAGATATCCTGGCTCTCCAAAATAAAATTGTTATTTTCAAAATTTAATACAGTAGAGACAAGTATTTTTTTTATTTGGTAACGTTCTTCTGTTGCTTTAATGGTAGATCCGGAGCGGTCCTAAACGGCTTGCAGGTTTTTCCACCCCAGGTGTCTTCCTCCAGCGGGGCACCGCACAGCTTTCTCGAGCAAACACATTCTAGTACATTGACTACACCACTACACACGTCGAGAGTCCAGACTGGAAGTTGGAGCTTGTGCCGGCTGGGGCGGTGCTCCGCTAGTGGGAGATACCTGGTTGGAGAAAATCACGCTAGTCGACGTGTACGTGGGGGAAGTTCGCCACATCGCACGATAAAACATCCACTAAACGTACGGGACCAATGACGTTAGCCGCTGACGCTCCCGGAATGATATATCAATCAATGCAATCTTAGGAGCATGGAGGTACCTGAGCATATAGTATATATTGTGAACTGTGTATAGGTTTTATTTTCATAAACTAAAGATCCCTGTTACTTAAAGAGAGTTATATTAATATTTGTATCGTTCACATGCTTTTTTAATACTTGTTAAAATGCAACCCTACAGGTTTGTTTAGTGTATTTTTACCCACCCGTATGTTAAGAAATTTAACATCCTTAGCAACGTAAATAAACAACCATCTATTCATCGCAAGTCAAATGTTTATTTAAAAAATCTGGCGATGTTTTGTACAATCATATTCAAACGATTCAGAATAGCATAGTAGTTTGCTATGCATAGTAGTTTTTAGAATAATTGTTGTTAATTGTAATATTAATAGTACAATTAAAAATGTAAAGTAGGAAAATTAATCCCATTTTCCTGTCATTCCACCCAATGAAACTCTTCTCTAGCAATAATATTTACAGACGATCTAAAGGTGTCGTCATTGGAAGTCGATGCGCTAACTTCCTCATCGAACGTCATTTCTTTAGGTACCTTTAGGTTCAGGAGACTTATTTGCATCCATTTTATCTCAAACGAGAGTAAAAGAATATTGTCTAAAAAGACATATCAGAAGCAACACCCCGCAATATTATAGTAACGTGCCGCAGCAACAGAATTCATTTGTTCGCAATAATGTCGAAAAGATTCGCATGAATCGTTAGATTTTATGGCGACTGATACAATGTTGAACATACCACGAAATGTTTCCGTATCGGTATTCCGTAAATTAAAAATCTCGACTCAGCTACGTCCTGCTTAACACTCATAACATTGTATTCATGTTAAAACACAGGAGAAATATTAAACAATCATTTCACTTTGTATAATTGCACTGTTCGTCATGTGGCGATGCAGGTGTGTGTGTGTGTTGTCTGACAGGAGGTACCTGAGCAGCAGGGCGGTGGGCGAGTGGGCTTCCTCGGCCAGCCGCCCCAGCAGGCGCCCCCCGGCCTGCTCCCGCGGCACCTTCTCCCGCTGTCGCCCGAGACGCCGGCCAGCGGCGGAAGCGCGCTGTCCACGCCCAGCGGGCTGCCAGCCGCGCCCCGCCGCCGCACGCGCCGCCGCTCGCCGCCGCCGCCGCCGCCCGCCGCGGCCCCGCCGCGCAGAGGCAGAGCTCGGCCAGCCGCGCTGCTGCAGGCGGCGGCTGGCAGTCGGGGCTGTGGCTGCCGCTGCCACGTGGCGCGGGCCCGGCTCGCTGGCGCTGCGGCCGTCGCCGCCGGCGCCCAAGGCAGGGCGCGGCTGCGGCGGCGCCCCACGGCACCTCCGCGGGGGTAACGGCGAATCCTCCGCACCGCCCGGCCCCGGGCTTGGTTCTTTTAACGTGGCATCCAATCGGGAGCTTAACTCACTACAGTGGAACACTTGTCATTTCAATCGCAAGCCCTTTGTTGGA